CAAATAAACAAACAAAAAAAACCCCACTAAACTACTAAATTGCCCTGAGTGGGTTTGAACTGGAGATGCTCCTGCCTCTGCTTCCCAGAATACTGGAATTACAGGCATATGCTTTCATACTCAGTATTGCTGGGAAACTTTAAATGTATAGTGTCTGGAAGCAGCTGCTAGCCTAGAATGAGTGACATTCAAGGAAGTACTGAAGCAACTCAGAGCAAAGGCAGCCGGGGGGGCGGGGGGGAGAAAGCTAGTGATCAAAGAGCTTCTGTTGCTGGACATTATTTACTTTCATCACCTCTTCGGTCTGCCAGTGATGCAGGGGTGTTGCAGCTGCATTTGCAGATGGGAAAGCAGGCTCTGAGAACTCTGTAACTTGTTCATAGTCATCCTGCTGCCTGGAGGCACAGACACTGCTGCTTGGGTGAAGCTCTGTCTGGCTCAGTCCCACAGACAGTATGAACGCACAGGACGTGAGGGGCGCTGCAGGTGCTCTCAAGACTATTTGGAAGAGTGCTGCCTGCAGAGCAGTAGGGGAAGGAATCAGACTGATTTCAGACCAGGGTTGTACTGGTAGCACAGCTATAAGCTGTGAAAATCTTTTTTTTTTTTTTTCTGTGTTTTTGAGACAAGGTCTTGCTATGCAGTTCATGCTGGCCTTGAGCTCACTCTGTAGCCCATGCTGGTCTTGAACTCACAATGATCCTCCTGCCTCAGCCTCCCGAGTGCTGGGGTTACCGGTGTGCGTCACCACACCCAACAAGCTATGAAAATCTTACAGGTTCAGTTGGCATATGGTTTGGCTGGAGTTCAAATTAAGGAAAGCCATGAAAGGAGGAAAAGGCAGCTTTGTGGACAGCATTTGCTTGGAAGTACAAAAGCAAGCTTTTATCAATTTAAGCACACTTAACAAGGATAGTAAACACCTATTGGCATCCAAATATTTGTTGACTTTGAAAGTTTTCCCTGTTTCACCTCCTTTGAAAGTTTTCTCTGTTTCACCTTCGTTTCTTGGTGTGCAGATGCCCTTGGAAATTACCCGTAGTTTTATCCAGAACCGAGATGGGACATATGAACTGTTCAAGTGCCCTAAAGTGGAAGTAGAGAGCATAGCAGAGACCTATGGCCGCATGGAAAAGCAACCAGTGCTGCGACCCTTGGAACTGAAAACTTTTCTCAAAGTTGGTAAGTGAATTTCAGCAGCCCGTCTGGCTTTGAGAGCCAGGTGCGCTCATTGCATTCTCTGAGGCTTTGGATCTTGACCTCAGTCCAACAACACACATTCACTTTATAAAGACATTTGTGCTTTCAGAATAAAATTACAGAGCCAGGGGTATAGCTCAGCAGCATGGCACCTGCCTGGCAAGCACAAGGTCCTGAGTTCGATTCCTGGTACAAAATATAAAATAAAATAAAATCACAAAAATAATACATGTTCACTGTGGAGAAATGAGATTTCAAGATGGAGTGCAAAGGACAAAATTTAAAACCACCTGTAATCTACCCACCCCATAGAAGACACCATGTTAAGATTTTATTTACCCTTTTACTCTTTTCTGTGTATCAGCAGAGTTCCCAAGGCATAGGATCCTATCCCTGCTGGTTTTTTCATTTAATAATATATCAGTATTGGGCCAGGCATGGTGGCGCACGCCTGTAATCCCAGCACTTGGGAGGCTGAGGCAGGAGGATCATTGCCAGTTTGAGACCAGCCTGTGTTACAAAATGAGCTCAAGGCCAGCCTGAACTGCACAGCAAGACCCTGTCTCAAAAACAAACAAACAAAAAACATCAGTACTGCTTTCCATGTCTATCTTCAACATTATTAAAATCTTTTTTTATTGTTGTAAGCTGTTATAGCAGAAAGTTGACCATTTTAACTGCTTTTAAGTGTACAATTCCCTATCATTAAGGACATTGACATTATTACATAACCATCACCACCACTGATGTGCAGAACATTTTCCTCATCCCCAGCTGAAACCCTATATCCATTAAGCAGCAACTTCCCACACCTGCCTTGCCCGAGCCCCTGGCACCACTGTTGTACATCTGCCTATGAATTGGACTCCGTAAGTCCTTAGTACCTCATAGAAGTGGAATCTTATTTGTCCTTTTGCAATTGGCTCATCTTACTTAGGTTCATCCATGCTATTTTTTTTTTTTTTTTTT